CTGAGAATGAAATTGGTACCATTGGAAATCTGACTCAAAATATATGAATTTAGGCTCAAGAATAACCCCATTTGGATTAGAAACGAAGGAGATATGGCCGTTTGAAGTTGAAACTTCAGTGCTGAAGCAAAACTGAAGAGCTGCACAAATGAGGGCTATTTCAGTCGACCGAAATAGAGGTAGGGTGAGTTTCAGTCGACTGAAACTCATAGAAACATTTTTGAAAACTACATTTTGAGGAGAGGATGGTTTGGTACAAAAAATTAAGCTATCAGTCGACCAAACTGGAGTTTCGATCAACCGAAACTCCTTGAAAAGCTGCTGAATGACCTGCTAAGCACATGAATTGTTGAGACTTCACCCAAGCCTCAAACCCTAACATGAATATGGTCCAAAAACAAGGTTTTAAAGCTATACAAGCATGCTCACAAGTGTACTTTATATAAAAAAACATGTTGCAATGGCCCATGGCCTCATTACACAGCATTTACAAAATTTAACATGCCAAACCTCCAAGGTTGATAAAAATACATCTTCAATTAGAATGTGGCGCCAAATGAGTACAAGTACTAAATTTAAACATGCTTGGCCCTTGGCATCTTGTCATACATATCAAATACATTGGAAAGAGCATAATTATATACACTTTACATTATTAGAATCAAATATACACATTTTGACATATAAAGCTACAAGTGGCATTTCAAGCCAACCTTGACACGAATGGGAAACCTTCAAGTCCACAAACCATCCAAGCATAATGAGAGTCTCAACTTTAATTCCTGTACCTAAAAAAATGTCCCCACTATGTGGGTGAGTAACATAAAGCTACTCATAGGAAATGAGCATGCATCGACTTAGCATTTTACAATTTTATCACCTTAAGGTGAAATATGTTAATGGGCTCTTGCCACCTAACATCTATGTCAAGGGTGAGACTCAGGGAGCATCCTCAACTACCCTAGATCATTTCTAGCATAAATCACATCATTCATGCAATTCAAACGACATAGAAGTATGCTATATACAAGGCAACAAGATATAGATTCTCAAAGTTATCAACTTGAAATCTAAAATATGAAAATAACCAAAATAGGTCATGCCACCTAACGTCTATGTTCCAATGAATTTATAAGATCATTCCTAAGCCACATTTGAACAACAAAACATGAATAACAATATCTATTCAATTTTACCAATATAGATGCATGTTATACTAAGCAACAAAATGTAGATTCTCAAAGTTATCAACTTGAAATCTAAAATACGAGACCAACTAAATATAGCAATTTAGTATAATTAGAATTTCTAATGCCACACATCAAGACATAGATTCTCTAGGTTATCAACTAGAAATCTAAAAGTGCGAAGTCAACTAAATATAGCAATTTCATATAATTAGAAATCCTGATACCACACATCAAGACATAGATTCTCAAAGTTATCAATTTGAAATCTAAAAGTGTGAAATCAAAAAGTGGGAGACTTGGACATCACACTCGGAATTCTGCCGAGACTTCAACAATTATTCCGGGCATTAACCCGCTAGGAAGACCACTACTATAGGATGACAATGTCGAATCTTTAGAGCGCTATTCGTTACACGCTATAATAACATCACATGTCGAATCTTCAGTGTGCAATTCGTTACACGCTATAACAATATAATCCAATATTGAAACATAAACTCATGCATCCATTACAAGTCTAAAATCATGCTTCAAACATATTATCAATGTCAAATATATAATTTGATCAATAATGCAATAGAAACGGAAATTAATCAAATAACTAATTAATTTCCCTAAGTTTCAAATCCCAATCAAATGGTCCCTAATTAACACATGTTAGACAACATAGCATGGTCATTGCATAAATCAATTCAAAAGCTTAATTAGGCCATTTGAACAACAAAATGGAATTTAATTAAATCATGATAATCAAATCCCTAAATTGCAAAACAACATAAAATGGTCCCAAATTAACATATGCTAGTATACAAGTCCTAGTCATCTCAAATATCAAGTCAAAACTTAATTAAGCCAAAGGAACCATTAAATATATTTTAATTAATTATTTTAATTAAAATCTCTAGATTTTCATACTTATCCAAATGCTCTCGAATTAAAGTATGTTAAAGAACATGTCAAGACTTAATTCAAAAGCATGTTACAAGTTAATTTCATGCAAGGCACGGCCATGGAATTTAATCTTTCACAAAGATAAATATTAAATAAAAAGTTCAATTCTTATTCAAATAATTCTAATTTGATATATGTTAACAAACATATCAAAACATAATTTATCATCATGTCACAATTCAATTCTAGGCTATATGCATCATTGTAGATTAAATCACATGCAAAGAATTAAATATTATTAGTATTCTAGATTTGAGACAAGGCATACAAACAAGTTGTATAATCATGGAAAACACTCAATACAACACATATAAAATCCTAAAACATCCCCTACCTCCATTTGAGATGAAATCTCAAATCCCCACCGAGATGAAATCGCTTCGAATCCGACGAAACTTCTATGTTTTGTCGGGGACAACACGATGAACAAGAATCCCAAGGAAGCCCTATCAAAATCACAACTTGACTTCAAACCCGAACTCAAGAAATGGCCAAAAAAGAATTCTAATAAGGGAGAAAGATAGAGCACGACAAGGTGAACATAAAACGCTAAGGTACTACACCTTTTTACCAAAGGGAAGTGGCCGGAAAAGAAAAGAGAAGGGCGGCAACCATGGCTGCTATGGATGGCCAGCCAAGGAGGGAGGAAGAAGAAGAGAAAATCTGATTTTTCTCCTAAGTCACCCTATTTATAGAAAAACCCTAAAAGTGCCCCTAACGGGCCCCACCGGGTCCGGAAAAGTGAAATTTGAGCAGACGTGCTCAAACGAAAAAACTCTATGAACAAAAAAGATTCAAAATAAGAAAATATGAACAACGGAAGAAACAATGTAGAAAACTGAGTCCCGAGCAGAGAGATATGCCCCAAACAAGTTTGGCACTAACCGGGGCCGGAAAACCTGAAACTGGAGAAAAACGACCAGAAGGAAATTCTAAGAGTACACAATTCGACAAAAAGTGAAAATGAATCTCATACGAGGATCCAAGCTCAAAACAAAACATTTAGCAATAACTTTCATTAATTGCACGATGGCCCCTCCAAAAAGTGAAAATTGCACTAATGGCCCAGATTGAAAATATCTTCCAAAAGTATTTTCTTAAAAACTCCTAAAATAAAATATCTTCAAAAGATATTTATGAAAAACCCCATAAGAAAAGAAAAAGATTCTGAAAAACTATGCATCCATGCCCCTATGGACACCGGGAGCAACCAGAGTACTTTACTGCAAAAGTAAAGATACGTATTTCGTGGAAACCACTGAGAATGAAGATACATGAAGTCAGAAACCAACTCCGAACACAAGAAGTAAGGTTTTGCCAAAAAGTGACGAACGGGGAAAAGACGAAATAGGGAAAAGGACGAAAAGTGAATAGTGTCGAAAAAATAAAAATGTGGAAATGACTCGGTCCTCAAAGAAAGTTGTCAATCCAAAGAAAAGAGTCTCAAAAACTATTTCTGAGCACTCGAGATAACACTAAGTGATGAGAAACTGAACTCAAAAAGGAAAAGATCAACGGAAAAAAAATATGCGTGAAAATCAGAGAAAACGAAAGGATGGAAAATGACTGGGTCATTATACCTTGATTTTAGGGTTTAAGCCTCTTGGGAGCTATCATTGTGTTACCTTGCTTATCTAATTGAGTACATCACTCAAGCAAGCGTATTTGGCTGAGACAAGGCTGGGGGAACCTAGTTTGATCATCATGTGAAGTTGTATTGGGTTTTTGACAGATCTATCCCTCTTGTTGCAGAGAAGTTTGCTACTAGTGTTTCATTATCATCTTTCACTTAAGGCTGTATATTGCATACAAACATTGTGTTGCAGCTTAACTTGATTGTACTTAGTATATTGACATTTCATTGTAAATGGTAGCGGGACTTTGATACCTCACCCATTGTTGATTAAGCTAATGAGAGCTTTTGGGTCCAAGCAAGGTTGCTTAAAACAGGGGGAGTGCTTGTGAGCATATTGGTGAGCTAGTGTGTGTGTATTGGTTGTGAAAACTAATGTCTATTCTTATACAAGGGTGTGTGCAAAGAGTGAGACAGCTGAGTGTGTAACAAGATATATACAGGCTATACAGCTAGTGGATGATTTATTGGCTGAGGCCAAGAACCAAGGTTTTTCCCTATTGAGAGGGTTTCCTTGTATATCTTGTGTTATATGCTTGATTTGTGTTGATTGGTTTTGTTGACTAAGAAAAGAAAGTTTAAACAGACCAATTCACCCCCCTCTTGGTCTAACAGACCTACATAGTCTATTCATTCAGTCTTAGTTATGCAAAGAGTAGTTATTAGTTATTCCTGAACAATTCTTCCAACAATGACCCTTTGCATTGGTAGCAAGGTGTTACCTATGTTCTAAACAAGTTCAAACAGATTGCATGATAAGATTGTATTTTATGGGAGGTTTTAGATGTGATGGGACTTCATCTCCAACACATTTTGTAACTTTCCATTGCTTAGTAGTTTAGGTGTTTGAGAGGGAAACATTTCTAGGACTATATTTTGTTTTATTGAGGGTATGCCATCATTTCTCCCCATGTAATATTTGTTTATATTCAATACACTAGTATTATTTAGGGGGGAAAAAATAACTAAACAAAAAAACAACACAAATGTTACGTAATGTGCTGAAAATAGTTATGCAACAATACTCACATTCACTAACAAGTGGTAGAGGATTGTTCCACTATGAGTACTGGCACTTACCTCTCCGGATTGAAGGCCTTCATTGTAATTCTACAACACAATTATGAGAAGTATTACGTATGCATAATTTACTACACAGAACTAGTATTACTTATGAAACTACTTGGAAAACAGTAACGGGATAAAAGTACCTGAAGTTGAACTGTTCATTTCATTGATTTTGTCTTATTGCGACTCTTTAGCTCCATGGTCGGTTTTAACCACTTAAATTTTCCTTTCCGTGTATCTTTACACTTGAGGCCATTGGGGATTTTGTCAGTATTTATGTTGCTTCGGTAATATTGCTTTTTGCCTTTACCACCACTATAAATTGCATTCCTCTTAGCAAACCTACGCCTACAACTTGATTGGGCAATTTTTTTCCACTCCATGGCTTTCACTAACAAATCATTGTATCCATCCTTATGCTCTGATACAATGGATGAAATTTCAGCCAGAATACGACAAAGTACCCTGTGCCGTCTCCTAACCTCAATTTTTGGTTTAGCATCGGCAATCACTTCACCGGCAAGATTTTCCTCCAAGCTGCCATCTCTTACACTTCTAGTCCACTTTCTTAATATATATCGACGAGGCAATATATTAGCGAACATGGAATCCTTTAGGATTTTCAAACTATGCCTGCACATAATACACTCCCTTTCAAATTTACAACAAGAACATAACAATTCATCTTCTGATGTCCTCGTCACGTCGCGTTGCATTCCATCCTCACCAACGACTTTGTAAACACAGCTTCCGTTGCCCTCGATGGGATTGCAACCAATGATCCTCTAACTGGCACCAGCTGCTAAGAACTTCTCCTGGAAACTATTAAATATAAACTTTGTGTACAGGTTTGCTGCCTCTACTAATATGGTACAGTTTGTTTTCAGTTGAGGTAGATTGTGAAGTAACCCATACTCGGCTACATACTCCTTGTAACACTTGTCGGACAACAGCCTTTCAAAGTGTGTGAAGAAATCTGGAAGAATTAGTTACCTGGATAAGTATACCTTCAAGCAACCATTGAAGCTTTCACTCAGTTGTGTGTTATGGATACCCGCGGACCAGGCATGTTTAATAAATGCCATGGCCCATCAATGTTTCAAACCTAACAGATTTGTAAGCCACGTGTTACCAACAACACCATATTCTGTTATCATTAAATTCCATTCCTTGGTAAATTCTTTCTCCTCCTCAATTTTAAACATTAATTTTGATAACACCTTCTTAAAACCTTACGCACGTCTAAATAAGAACCCTAAATGCTTTTGTGCATTTTGCATTAGGTGCCAAACACACAAATAATGTTTTGTCCCTTGCATCACCTGCAAAATTATTTTCTGTAATATAAGTACGTAATAATGCAAAAGGAAATGCAAAGAGTGAAGATCTGAATTGAAATCACCTGCGTCAATGCCTTTCCCAACAGCATCTTGATCAGTGAAGATCATCTTTGGCGCTTTACCAAACATTGCTTTCAAAAATATTTCAAACAACCAGACAAACGACTCTGCAGTTTCGTCATACATGAACGCTGCTCCAAACACAATGGTCTCCTGGTGATGATTCAACCCCAAGAAACTTCCAAATGGATGGTTGCCATGTACAACTTTGTATGTTGTGTCAAAACTTATAACATCTCCAAAATTACAATAATCAACTATCATTTTTGAATCAGCCCAGAATATGTTAGTGATCATTTGATCATTATCCAATTGGAATGCATAAAAGAAAAATGGATCTTCACAAGACTGAGTCTCAAAATAATTCATTAGCCATGCTGCCTCTCCATATTCGAGCTCAGTTTGTCTTCTGGTCCTTATATGGTTTAGCATATCCAATTTCATGTACCCGACTGATTCTTTTCCACCAGATTGCCTTCCCATCAACTCATATGAATTGCGAGGGCTTATTCCTGAATCAGAAGCCAATTCCAAATCAATGGCCTGAACGCGGCTAATTCTACGCTGCGACGGCAGCATGTGCATGTATTCATCAATCATCAATGGATGGTTGTGGCTTTCAACAAATTTTGTAACTTCAAACTTATACGTATACTTGGAAACTTGTATAAGCATTCGAGCAAGGCAACCAGTTCGTGTTTCGGCCTTGGGAGAGTTTTCTGTATAGAAGTCATATGCCTCTTCCTCAGTTTCAAACTTCATACCTATTATTGGTTTCCATTCTACGACATTTGCCCCTGCAATAGGAGAGTTTTTTGTATATGTGGTGTCTTCGATGTTATTTAATACCTCTTCCATTCCAATAATTCAAATCAGAAACCTACAATATAAAACAGAAATAAATAAATAAATAAATAAATAAACTTTTCAAAGAAGTGCTGTGTTGTAGGTATGAATTATTTATTGGAAATATTTTCTGACCTATTAACATAATTCAAGATAGTATAATGTATCAGGGAACCAACTTCCTCAACTGCACATATTTTAATTTTGATACAAATAACAAAATAAATGATTTATTTCACTTTTTCCAACTCAAACATGCACTTCTAACCTTTTTGGGCCTTTTATTTTCATAAAAATTACAACTATTTTCAATTATTCATTTAGCTTTTTCTAAATCAAACATGGACTTGCAAACTTTTTTCGGCGTATTTTGAGAAACATTACAACCATGTTAAGTTAGGGGTATAAGAAGAAACAATAATAAGAATTGGAAAAACATTTCCATGTCAAGAAACCAAGAGTAGTAATGTGATACAGCTAATCATGCAACCAAACAGCATCCCAACTAATTTGACAAATTAAAACAAAGACAAACCAACAAGAAACAAATATTAAAGAGACAATAGGAAAAAGCTAAAACATTGTAGAAAGTGCACATGTTATTAGCCAAAGATAACTATACCAACAGACTAGAACAAAAAAGAGAATAAATTGTTACCCAAAACTCAAAACTAAATAGATAAAAAATAATAAGAATAATGCTAATAGTAAAAATAACCAGAGAACATCATGAAAGCTACCACACAGATGGTAACAGAGTAAATTAAGTAAAATAAGAAAAGGAATCCAAACACCATGATCAAAGAAAAAACACTCCAAATAACATTATTATTAATGAATAATCAGAAGAAGAAAAAATGAAATAAATAGTTAATTTCTCTTATTTTAAAGAAATATACATACCCCAAAGACATAGACAAATCTATTAGAGTAGCAAGCATAGTGCCACCATCTCTCACAAGGATTAAAACCCATGACCTTTGGATAGAGCCACATTGCCTTCTTTGCAACTTCAAGTCCCAGAGAACCCATTCTCTCTCTCTCTCTCACAGTGACACAGTGACTTTTTAATTCAAAACCCAGTCATAACTTCTTGACAAAGATGAAGAAAAAGAGGAAGATAGAAATAAAGGGTCAAAAGGACATGAACAAGCCAACTATCAATGTCAATAGACATAAGAAGATGGATGCTTTCAAATCCAAATCACTATTACAACCATCAACAACAGAAGGTTGTGGTGAAAAGAATCTGAATTGGTTCTCCTTCACTCTTTTATTAATATATATATATATATCTAATTTAGTCAAGATGTTTTTTTTTTAGTTCATTGTTTATTTGTTTACTTACTTTTCCCACTTCTGTAACTGACAATGATGAAATGTGGGAGCATTAGTTTGTGGGAAATGATGGGAAGGTCTTCGGCTTATTTTGGAAAATATTACAACTATGTTAAGTTATTTATAATGAACAATCATAACTCTCAATGGAAACTTACATTTCATAAAATGGAAAATTTATTCTAACATATTAAATTGGAAATGTAAAACCTCCATTTCTTATTATACATAATATCCCAAATATATTGTAGTATTTATCATGAATAAAACACTGCATTACAGGAATACAATGGAAATTTTATTTTAACATCTTCAATTGGAACTTTAAAACATAACATATAATCCAAAATATAACAACTTTTTCACAATTTAATAATATAATTTTCACAATTTCTAATTCAATTTTTCACAATTTAATAACATTTCAACAATAACCAAACAAAACTAATGAAACACAATGTCATACGATTCACAAATTCACTTACAAAACCAGTACATTGTAGCTTCGCCTTCCTCGGCCTTAAATCAACCACACGACACTGCACCTTCCTCTTCCCCACCGTTCAATCAAACCTTTCCAAAGAAATTGTAATTTTGGAAAGAACAAAATTAAGGAAAGCTGGGACAATGTAGGAAAGACCAATTTATTTCTTTCTATATTTTGGGAGAGAAGAAGAAAGAAGATTAAGAACAGGCGTCATTGTAGCTTCCTCTTCTCCGACGTTCAATCAAACCTTTGGAAACAAATTGTAAATTTGGAAAGAAGGAAGAAAAATCGGGAGAGAAAAAGAACAAAGAAAATTACATATTTAGAAGAGGCAATTCATCACTGTAGATTCCTCTTCTCTGACGTTCAACCAAACCTTTGGAAAGAAATTGTAAATTTAGAAAGAAGGAAGAAAAATTGGGATAGAAGAAGAAGAAAGAAGATTAGAAGAAGGGGCGTGGAAATTGTAAATTTGGAAAGAAGGAAGAAAAATTTTGAGAGAAGAAGAAGAAACAAGAAAGAAGCTTAGAAGAAGAGGCGCTAAATTTGTTCCAGATTTCCAATTTGCCGCTTAAACCTGAGTTTCAATTTCTGGAATTTAATATCTGTGGGTATGTATTGTTTGTATATGTATCTGTGTGTGTGGGTATGTATTGTTTATAAATGTATCTGTGTGTGTATACCTTTTTTACCCAAAGTCCTGTTTGGCCCTTTTTACCACCGCTACAGTGCATGAACAGTGCGAACAGGAGGGAACAAATTCTACTGTTCCACAGCAGAGGATTCTGGTCCGGTCCCAACAAGTGCTTCAACTATTGGATTCTGACTTTCCGTGCAAGAGTTAATAAGCATTAATACTAGGCTCATTGGTGTCAGTATCAATTGACATTGTGTGGTTGTCTCAATTAATTTAATTCAGAACTGGCAACAACACAAAGTTCTGAACTCGCAAAACGGTGATCATAGAAATCTGAACTGGATTAATTGGATCAACAGTGAACTGGACTGAATCCAAATCCATTCAATTGAGACTGTCACGAGTCTCAAGAGTGTATAAACTATTGATTTATGTTTTTGTGCTATATACAAGTTCATATATTTTCTCCACAAAACTCAAACTCATGGAAAAAGTTTCATTCCTTTTGTCCATTGCACTGTTGATACACTGTTGTTCTATGCTTTGTTTGGCTAGGTCTGACAAAAACTTGAATACAGATCAATCTGCTCTTCTTGCCTTTAGAGCCCACATCAATTCTGACCCTGAAGATGTTTTGGCCAAAAATTGGTCTTCCACTACCTCTGTGTTCAATTGGATTGGTGTGTCTTGTGGTCTCACCCACCAAAGGGTCACAGCCTTGAATCTTTATGATATGGGACTCAAAGGTACCATAACACCACATCTTGGAAATCTTTCATTTCTCACATCACTTGACATCAGTCGCAACAATTTCAACGACTATATTCCCAAAGAGATTGGCAAACTTTCTAGATTGAAAGTATTAAACCTGAGTTTTAACAAGCTCACGGGCTTCATACCATCTAGTATATTCAACAATTCTTCTTTGGAAATGATTGTTCTTACAAATAATAGCCTATCTGGAAGCCTACCGGTAGACATATGTAGCCATCTTCCTGAACTTGAATTACTTTATCTTTCTCTGAATCAGTTTAACGGGCAAATTCCATCCAATTTATACAGATGCAGGAAACTCCAAGTTCTATCATTGTCATTCAATGAATTCAATGGCAGCATACTGAGAGAAATTGAAAATCTGACTATGCTCAAGGAGTTGTATCTTACAAAAAACAGCTTGGAAGATATGATTTCAATATCAGGTCTAAGTCGAGAGAACTTTTGATAAACTAAGCTTGGATTTTCAATTAATTCCAAAGTAAAGTTATCCTTTTTGTAATTGTCTGACTTTGATATGCATTTGGTATTTGGCTAGCTGATATCACTTTAATTTTTTCAGACTTATGTATTACCTAATCCATGTCACTTCACTTGTACACACCTAATAGTGTTAATTATGATAAACAAAGATATTAGGCAATTGCTAAATGGCTAACAGTGTGACATTGAGGTAATTAAAAGTTTGCAAGGTGGTTGTGATCACAACAATGAATAATCAATATTGGCTTGAATGACAAGAAACACTCGATGTAAGTGTTAATTTAAATATTGAAAAAAAATTGATGAACTGTTGATACCTCAAGAAAAAGCTTTTATAACTCAAAGATATGATATAATCTTGTTGGGTCTATGTGTGTGTGTGTGTGTGTGTTGGGGTGGGGAGTCATGCACAAGCAGAAAATAATAAACCTCTCAACCAAGAAATAAACACGGGCTATTATTCTCTTTTTTCTTCTTTTAAAAAAATATAAAATTCAAAAGTACTCAAGCAAAAATAAAGAGGAGTTAAAATATGAAACATATAGTCTACTAATACATGAATTCAAAACTGTAACTGAAGTACTCAAAGACCAAGGGTACTAATATTATAATATTAAGTGTGCAAATGTTATGTACTATATTAAATGTGCATGTGGTGCACAACTATTTTATACTAGTGACTAGTCATATCCTTGTGTGTACTCTTATCTTTGAAATCATTGGATAATCCAAGCATGGTTTATCAAAAGTTCTCTCTTGACTTAGAACAAATAATGAAATCATACCTATCAATATATTTTCTTCAATTTCCAACGTTGTGGGCATGGTCAGGTTTCCAATTTCTTTGGGAATGCTGCCACTAAATTCATTGGACGACAATACTAGACCTCGGAGTTTCCTACATCTGTATAAATTGGACGGGATTTGACCGTTAAGCTGATTCGACGAAAGATAGAGTATTTAAAGTTGAGGAAGATGGCTACATATGTCTAGTGGCAGGTTTCCTGATAGCTACGCTATTGTCTATGAAATCGATTGCTTCCAAAGATGAAATGTTGAATAATGTAGGTGGTATGAAACTTATGAGCTGGTTAGAACCCAAGTGTAATTCTTTCAATCTATAAAGATAGCCAATCTGTTTGGGTATATGGCCACTGAAATTGTTGTAACTAATATCAAGGGACGTGAGGAAGGAGAGGTGTTGAAAAGGAAAGATTCGGTAGAAATTCTACCAAATATTATTAGCTGTAAATATAATATTTGGAGGATATTTATTAGCTGTAAATAAAATATTAGTCAAATGCCGTAAATTAGGAAATTATTAATTAGGCCAGCTAGTTATGTGCGTGTATTCTCTCCTATAAAGAGAACCCGTGTAAACTTGTGAAGTGTGTGCTAATATAAAGAAAAAGGTTTATTCCTTATTTCTTTCCTTTCAAGTTTATATGGTATCAGAGCCACCCTAAAAAAATAATAATAATAATAATAAAACCCTAATTTTCTTTCCTGCACAATTTCTTCGCTTATCAGCCATGTCTGACATTTCCTCCATGTCAACCTCGCCTATCACAACCCAGTCAACCAATCCAACAACCCAAGCCCCCAATACCGATTCTCACTCGGTTCAGATCACCAATTTTTGCCTTAATGGTGACAATAATTTACGGTGGTCACAATCCGTTCGAATGTACATCAGAGGGTGGGGAAAGATCGGGTACCTGACGGGGGACAAGAAGGCACCAGCATCGGAGGACCCAATGTACGTGACTTGGGATGCAAAAAATTCAATGATGATAACTTTGCTTGTGAACTCCATGGACGAGGATATTAGCTCCAACTATATGTGCTACTCCACAGCCAAGGAGCTCTGGTACAACGTAAATCAGATGTACTCTGATTTGGGAAATCAGTCTTAGATCTACGAATTGAATCTAAAACTTGGTGAGATTCGGTAGGGAGAAGACTCGATCACCAAGTATTTCAATTCATCAAAGCGCATTTGGCAGGACATGGATCTGTTGAATGATTATGAATGGAAATCCACTGAAGATGCCAATCACTATAAACGGACCGTAGAGGCTCATCGCATTTACAAATTCCTTGCTGGGCTCAACGTGGAATTTGATGAAGTACGAGGACGGATCATTGGCAGAACTCCACTTCCTCTAATTGGTGAGGAGTTTGCTGAGGTTCGAAGAAAAGAGAGCCGCCGACATGTAATGTTGGGGAAGAAGACTACCAGCGGACCTGTTGAGAGTTCTACCCTTATTGTTATAGTGACTGCTGCTAATAAAACAGTCAATTTTCAGTGGAAAACTGAAGAGAAGCCACGGGTCTGGTGCGACTTCTGCAACAAACCACGCCATACTCAGGAGAACTGCTGGAAAATCCACTGAAAACCAGCGAATTGGAAGAGTAGCAAGCCTGGTGACAGAAATAGGCGTGCGGTTCCTACTGCTAATGAAGCTGAGACAAGTCCCTTAATCAAGGAGCAGATGGATCACCTCTAAAGTTGCTGAAATTTAATTCCTCATCTGGTATTCCTAGTATTTCTCTTGCACAAACAGGTACTGCACTTATTGCCCTTTCTTGTTGTTTAAATTATACTCCATGGATCATCGATTTTGGAGCCTCTGATCATATGACCAGCCTTTCCAATCTTTTTAGCACTTACTCACCATGTTCTGGCCTTGAAAAAAATTAGAATTGCAGATAATAGTCTCTCACCTATTGCAGGAAAAGGTTTGATAAAATTATCCGAGAATATAGATCTTAAATCTGTTCTCCATGTCCCTAAACTAGCCTGTAACTGTAACCTTTTGTCTGTGAGTAAACTAACCAAAGAATCTAATTGTCGTGTAATTTTTTGTGATTCTTACTGTGAATTTTAGGAACGGAGCTCGACGAAGAAGATTGGCAATGTCAAGATAATAGATGAACTTTACTACTTTGATGGGGACTTCTCCAGTAATAAAAAGGCTCATGGCCTTAGTAGTGTTAGTTCTAACTCTGTTTATGAACAAATAATGTTTTGGCATTTAAGACTAGGACATCCTAGCTTTCCATATCTTAAACATTTGTTTCCTGTTTTATTTAAATGTTTGGATTGTTCATCGTTCTATTGTGAAAGTTGTTGTTTATCTAAGAGTCATTGTACTACTTATTTGCCAAAACCTTATACTTTTTCAAAACCATTTTATTTAATACATAATGATGTTTGGGGACCTTCAAGAGTCACTACTATCTCTAGGAAAAAATGGTTTGTTACTTTTATAGATGATAATACTCGTTTATGTTGGGTTTATTTGATGAATGAAAAGGTTGAGGTTGGAAAATTTTTTAAGAATTTTTACACAATGGTTGAAACTCAGTTTCAAGCAAAAATTAGCATTTTTCACACCGATAATGGAATCGAGTACTTTAATGAAATTTTGGGGAGTTTTTTGAAAGAAAAGGGTATCCATCATCAGTCTACATGTGTGGATACCCCTCAACAAAACGGAATTGCTGAAAGAAAAAATAAACATTTACTTGAAGTGGCTCGTGCTATAATGTTTTCAATGAATGTTCCAAAATATCTTTGGGGGAAGCTGTTTTAACAGCTTTGTATTTGATTAATAGAATGCCTTCACGTGTTTTGAAATATAGCACGCCATTAAAATGTTTCAAAAGAATTTTTCCATTATCGAAGATATACTCGGATTTACCTCTAAAGGTTTTTGGCTACATAGTGTTTGTTCGTATACCCAATAATAATCGGTCCAAACTTGACCCTCGAGCTAAAAAATGTCTTTTCATAAAGTATGCTTCTAATCAAAAGGGATATAAATGCTAAAACAAGAAAATTTTATGTAAGTATGGATGTCTTTTTCTTTGAAAATAAATCATACTTTCCCAAAAATTCTCTTCGGGGGGAGAATGAGGTGATGGAAAATTTTTTTTGGGATTTATCTCTTACACCTTTACCAAATGTGATTTTGACTCCTTCACCTTATCCTACTGTTATTCTTGAAATTCAAAGTCAGGAACAATGTGATAAAACCAATGAAAACAATGAAGGGAATCCTAGTAATATAGTACCAAACATTATTGTATCTGAAACAGGGGAAGAATCACAACAACTGGGCACTAAAGTTCCCAATACTGAGCCTCTAGTTTATAGTCATAGAATACCTCATCAAAAGATTCAAAGTCAGCCTATTCCTCTTGGAAATGATTAATCTCAACCTCCGGGAACTGGACCCCAGATATCACAGGTAATTCTGTTCCTAACTCATCTTCAGTTCCTATTATTTCTCCTAACTAAGAACCATCAGACCTTGATATTCCTATAGCTGTTCGGAAAGGTATTCGAATCAAATATCCAAATCCAAAATATCCCATTGCCAAATACCTTTCTTATGAAAAACTCTCTTATACTAATAGGGCTTTTACCTCAAAAATCTCACATTTGTTTGTACCGAGAAATAATCAGGAAGCTCTTGATGATCCAAATTAGAAGTTAGCAGTGATGGAAGAGATGAATGCTCTTAAAAGAAGTGGTACTTGGGAGATAGTTGATTTACCTAAAGAGAAAAGAACAATAGGCTGCAAGTAGGTCTTTACTGTGAAATATAAAGCAGATGGTAGCATAGAGAGGTACAAGGCAAGACTAGTAGCAAAAGGGTTCACCCAGACCTATGGAATTGATTATCAGGAAACTTTTGCTCCTGTAGCCAAGATAAACTCAATCAGAATTTTGTTATCGTTGGCTGTGAATTTCAGCTAGTCATTACACCAGTTAGATGTAAAAAATGCCTTTTTAAATGGAGATCTTGATGAGGAGGTCTTTATGAATCTACCACCTGGGTTTGAGAGAAAATTGGGACCTAATAAAGTCTGTAGACTGAAAAAATCTTTATATGGTCTCAAACAGTCCCCTAGAGCTTGGTTTGAGAGATTTGGGAGAGCTGTGAAGAATTGTGG